CTGTACTTGTTTTATGCCCACAGCAATTTAAATTCAGAAAATTCTGGACCGTCCCAAACTGACCGCAACTCAAGTCTTACAATTTCTATGTGGTTGATCTTCCTAGCCTACAGGTGCTCGTACTGTAGTTTCAATGGTGACACTATTTTGTTCAAAGAAGTTACATTTCTTAAGGACTAAAATGCTATTTTAAATATACAATCATAGAAACATTGGTAAATTGGTTGCTGTGCCATTCTTCCCCAGACTAAAAGCCTTGGCGATCATGTTGACATTTTTGGTTTAAAATACCTCAGCGACTTTGCTGTCACATTAAATGTAGATGTTCCCAATGCTCCCCAGAGAACACATACTGTTCGACTGTGTTCATCCCCTAACTTTTCACTCGGTTTCACAAGAAGGACACAGGGTGTCTGAGGCTGGCATTCTGATTGGAACATAAAAAGACTAAAGTTTGACACTCAAGTCCTCCAAGATACAAGGTCCTCTTTATGCCATCATATCCCACAACAGACGAATTTAACAGAAATGTAGTTTCTCTCTCTCTAACCATGTTCTGTTGTCATTTTGCCGTTTTTAAATTCTGTATCTGACAAGCCCTTTACATTTTCTCCTTAATTTTTGGAGTAGCTTCTTGTCCTGTCACAGGAAGTAAATGAGCCAAGCCTCTTTTCCTCCATCTCCCTCATTTTATATCCTTTCAGACCCAAGGGCCAGTTTGAGTAATAGTAATTGACACATTGATCTAATAGGGCCATCATAATAGGCCTGTTACTGAGCTGGGCAATGGTGCTCGGCGTCACCTTAACATGTGCAAGGACTGACATCCCGCCATGATCCATAATGATAATTGTGATTTAGCCTTGCTTTCAACCTACGCCCCAGTGTCCCCGGCATCAGGAAATCTTATTACATCTGACCCCACATTGCCTCCATTAGAACTAGGTCATTTGTTAAAATACTGCAAAAGCAAAACAATTGAACCCTGTGCCATTTTGATTCTATAACAGTGGGTTATCATTGTCCCTTTGAATCAATTCCAGGGGCCCATTTTTCGGGATAGAGCTTTGAATTGGATTGATCGGACTCTGATAATGCTGAAATCAATGATGCAGCCGCCTGAAAGTAAATTATCGTTGAGCGAAATTTTCGGATTAATCTTAATGCCAGTATTCTTGATTGGTATTGGTCGCTGTACTTGCAGGGCGAGCACCATTGAAATGTTGACGGAGACATTAACTGTCAGGATGGAAAAATGAAACGGGGATTCTTAGAAACTTTTTCCACGGCACATCTTCTGTCTTCCTAAAGGGGCAGGAGCCACTGGAGGGACGAACACACTTGGATTAGCTGGGTTAGCATCCAGGCAGAAAAACACAGTCCACACTTAGTCTTGAGACAGTGTTTAAAATCTAGGCTTAGGTTGTGACCCAACTTCTCACTTGGCGCCTTTGCTGTTTAGCTTGGGAAATATACAAAAGAACGTTAGTATGTACCTGTGTGTATAAATGTTTGTGCGTAAGCGTGTGTGGATGTGTAACACATAATGTTCCCTTAGAGTTTCACTCTTGTATCAGTCATCAAGATAGTTGCTGGGTATTGTTGCAGCAGTTATTTCATTTTGCATCTCTGGGTGTGTGTTCCTCCCTTTGTTTGTGTTAAGGAAAAAAAAACGTGCATGTCAGATTTTAGTGCCTCTGATCTTACCTAACACATGTGCATTTGCGAGAGTGTGCGTGCATGTGTGTGTTAGCAGTGAGTGGTGAAGTCGTGTTTGTGTCTGTGCTGTCCAAGCTGATTTTTAAACAGATGTTGACAGAGTGTTCCACAGGATTGTGTTCCTAAAACACCACTTATGAAATAGGAAAACTTTACTTGTTCCATATTTGGGAAATTCTGTTACTGCTACTATCTGCTTCTTACTGCTTCTGCTACTTTTACAGCTATTACTAGTTGTAAAGGATTAAGTGAAGCACCGTGGATACTTTCTGGGTGCACTGTATAACATAAAAAGAAGCTAAAGGCTAGACAAGTTTGTGAAAACATCATCTACATTTTTAATCTCTGCAGCACTCCAGCTTGTCATAATGAACAAGTTGTTGAGATTCTTCCATCTTTAACACATCTTCAACAAATATCAGTCTGCAGGATTTTTCAAGTTGAAATGATGGCCCAGTAGTCATGAGACATGTGAAACGCTGCACAAATACAGCTAAAGTGTACATAAGAACCATGGAATCCAGGGTGGAAGAAATGAGAGAAGAGGGGGGCTGAAGAGAAGGCTGTTTGGGGTAAAGACAAGTTGGGTGCTCTATCACCAGGTCCATTAAGCACTTCCTGCATTGGAAAACGTGGTATGGATTCAGAGTGCCAAAAGCATTGTGCCAAAAATGCGTCAGCCTTGTTTACTTAACTAAGACTAGAGTGATGAAGGTGTTGCTGCAGAAGAATCTAACAAAAAAATGCTGGATCAGTTCACACATAATTGACTGTTTGCTCAGATTTTGCCTTGATGCGTCTGCTCTGCCGTTCGGTAACAAGGTACGTTGGTCAATCAAATAAAGGGTGGGCATATTCCAAGGGCCTGTGCTTACAGAGACACATTTGATTATATTTGCATTTGATTATTGAATCTTTTTATTGCAACACACCAACATCACTGCAGTTTCTGGGCACCAGTGAAAGATCACAGCAAGGCTCTGAACTATTACCATTATATTTTCTACATCTATTCTAGTCTTGTGAACATTGTTTCCTTACTTTTCATCCAACAAAAAGGATGTTAGGCTCACCTGCAGTTGAACTTGGTGCTGATAGGTTGGTGTTAGGATGCAAACATCTAAACTGATGTGGTGGTTGTAGTGAACATTAGGATGTTAGCATTGCTAGTCATTGCGAACATGTTGCATGATTATTGGCTGTAGATTGTGTTGTTGTGATGCATCAACGCTCTCATGTGAGTAAAGGGTTATAACAAATTGAAAGCCCTCGCTGGCTGTGACCCACTGATTCTCATAAACAGGCACTTTAGAGGTATCACACTCGATCCTGTTCCTTATCTGTAAATGGCTTTTTTGGGGTCTCCTGATAATGTCATGCATGTTCTCCATGGTTTGCCTTTGGTATATTACACAGTGGGTTTATTTTGTGCGATAGTTTTGAATCAGAGTGACAGACAAAGAAGAAAAGCAATAGTGAAGACTGGCACGGCAGACGGACCTTGACGCAGGAGTCGGTCAGAACAGGGTGTGCTGCTGGAATATTCAACGTGGCTGAGGTCATCTGTCTCTTGTAATGGATGAAGGTCTTTCCATAATGATGTCTTCATTTGAATAATGTCCAGATTTCCCTCGGTGGGAGTTGCTGTAACTTGGTAGTAGCTGTCTGCTGTTGAAGCCACTTCCTAATGGTGTCTTCCACTGGCTCTACTCATCAGTAAAGGGATGTTATCGATCATGTCGACTCTCCTTCTTCACCTAACTTTCACAATGTTGATATAATCAGTGCTAGTGTGCAGCTGTTTTTGTGCTTCTCTGTAACATGTTTTTAATTGTTTTGGGTTTTTTTTACTCCATTCAACAGAATTTGAAGTTTTATATCACATCGTTTCCCTTTAATCTGCCATGAAAGTCATTGTTATATTTTAGAATCACTGCCTTCCATTTGTCCAAAAAGTATCCATGCTGAGACTGATGAGGTATGTATCTACACTTAGTATGCACAAGCAGACTAAATGGACTGTTGAAAGCACTTCGTCCTATGGCTCAAAAAACAAAACTAACACTACAGTTCACCCCTGAATCCTCAGCCAACACGGCACCACAGGCCCTGCCAAGGTTGACAGAGAATGGAAGAGCAGTAGAGGCGTTCCTCGCAGAGACAGAGAAGGGGCACAAGGGACGGGGGGTAGTGGAGGGGAGTCTCTTGATTAAGATTTATGTCTAAATTTTCCTGTTCTAGCAGCCGTTGCCTGCTGTTGGATAAGCTCCCTTACACACCCCTCTTCTTTGCTGTGTTGATAGAAGGGCTTCTAGTAAATGTGTTTCATGACAAAGCATTTCCCCTTTTGCCCTTCATGTTACTCCCCTTTACTCTGGATTCCCAGAAGGTGCAGGGCAGTGGGACGTCGGGAAATCAAATAAATTTTTGTGCTTCAAGTTTGTTTTCATACATTAATGCACGTAATCACAACGATTGTGTGATTGGTCTGTGAGCACTCCCAAAACACGCGTGACCTAAAGCTGACAACAGTGCCCGAATGCCTTCTGAGGAGCTCTGCTAACACGCTGCTCATGCTAAGCCTTCTGTGTAGTAGTCCTGCAGCTTTGGATTATATAAGCCACCTATATTGGTTACTTTGAATCATGCATACGTTGCTGGTCTCCCAAAAGTAGATCTGTTTCGACAAGTTCAGTGATAAAGCCTTAAATGAAAAACTGACCACCAAAATCACAAAGTTAAAGTAGAAAACAGGACTTTTCATTCCTGCAGATGTAATTCTGTTAATTACCTGAAAACTCGTGTCTGTTGGAAACCTGTTAAACTGCACACACGCTGGAAGTGACTTCAGGCAAAATAACTATGGGCCGTCAGAGGTGGGTGAGACCCATGATTGATGAGCGGATGATGAGACTACCAGTGAGAGAGAAGATTGTTGATTGACATATGACCTCGCTAGAGGGTCACCTAGGCAACCGTGATGAAGGGATGAATGGGACTGAAAGGTGAAAGAAAAGAAACCTACAGTTTTTGACAAAGCAGTAACTTTCATTGCACAAAGAATATCAGGTGTGTTTTGCTTTTTTTAAGCATGTTATTAGTGTGCTTTACTTTCCACAATTTAAAGTTTAGTTACAAATGGAAAAAGTGAAGCGTTTGGGTGAAAGTCTGAAGTCCCAGTGTTTTATCAGTGGTTACTAGATTATCAGTTCATAAAGTTTTCAAACACTTTAAAATTAATGGTGTTTAAAAATGTTGCCCTTTTTTTTTCTTTTCTCCAGGACGAGCCCCCCCTACTGCTGCGCTGACCTGTATTCGCTAAGGACGGGGGAAATGGTTAAATCAATTCAGTTCAAGACGCCTATCTATGACCTCCACTGCAACAAACAGTGAGTTTGGCTAAACAGAATAAGTAAATGCATTTAAAAAGACCTTTGTCATGTAGTCACATGAATGTTTTTTCCCTCTCACAGTATCCTTGTTGTGAGCCTGCAAGAGAAGATTGCAGCATTTGACAGCTGCACATTCACCAAGAAGTTCTTTGTTACAAGTAAGAATATTAAACACATGAGTCCTATAATGCTTATTTACTGCTCCAGAGGTAATTGTTCATATCGAACATGGCAAAAGTTTTAAATAATGAAGTTGGAAAAGAGTGGTTGTTCCGTTCTCTGGGTGCTCTGGTTTCTGCTGCTGTGTATCAACTCGGCTCTAGCTGTGAGAACAGAGCTCACCTGGGATTAAGGTGAACCGAGCGGCTGCACTAACCCAACATGAGGCAAATAAGTGTTGCTTTTTTCGACTGTGAATCATGCAAAGCTACTCTCTGAGAACGACAAGAAATGACAAACATTAAAATGCATAGAATACGTCTTCTTTCAATTCTGTCAGCCTGCTACATAATCTGGCAAAAAAAGAGAGGGAGGTTTTAATAGGTTACAGAAATCAATTGCTTTTCACATCAAAAACAAGAATGATTGTTGTCACATGTGGCCTGTCATTATTTTATTGTAGAAATATGTATTTATCAAACACGGGGCCAAACCCCAGCCCTGTACTTTGTGTAGTAGCACAAACAAACAGTGCCAGTCACGTAAAATTCTTTCTTCAAACTTAATCTTTCCAAACATGATCAGCGAGTCTGTCATGCCCGCATCACACAACCCAAACAAATACAAGGCACATCATTGATTATAATACAAGCCACCAAGACCTGCTGGAGTGGAATCCTCTTAAGCATCGCATTGTGACTAAACTGCTTTTATCAAGACAAGATGGTGAGACCCTTCATTTGAAGCTCAGCACAGGAAAACTGTTTACGACACAGCTCTCGCATCCTCCCGGCTGTACCTGCCGTCTCTGCTCAGGGAGTCTGTGAAAGAAATGCCAGACTGTATTACAAGGCCATTGCTGTCTACTTAAGTCATTGACTGGAGTAAACTGACCTTACTGGCTGGCTTTAATGTGTCTCCTCTTTGTCTGCCTGCCTTCCCTATCAGCGTCTGGGCAGCAGGAAACCAAACATATTCAATAGTTATTAATCGTTTCTGAATGCAGGGGCCTCCTCTTCATAACATCGTTTGGTCTGTTTTGGCCATAAAAGCAGTAAACAAAGGGTCCTGTGATGTGGGGAGATCTGCTTTGGATGAGCAATTCTACCTCTGCATGTGCTCTTCTTCTCCAGGGATGTGATGGTGGGCATGTCATGTTTTCATGAGCACTTAGTGTTTGTCCCTTGTTTATGTTCTTGCTTTGCATCGAGTGGTGTGTGTGCTCCTAGCTGGTGCTTGCTCAGCCCCAGAAACTTTCTTTCCCCTCTGCTCAGTCCTGTTTGCCTTTTGAATGGGACGACTCACAATCGTAGTCCTTAATGTGTTTTTACAAAAAGTGTGTGTGGAAACGTTTGAGGATTCATAAACAAGACGACGACTACTTTTCATATGCGTTTGAAACCAAACGTTTTCCCTTTCTGATAAAACGTGACTGGAAGCAAGTTTTCGAACTGTGTCCCTCAACGTTAGTCTTTAATTGACTTACTGTTTATCAGTCCTGGAAATTTTAAGTAAAACACACTTGGTCATGTGCTGCTGCCCTGACCTTCACATGTATGTCTTAATAACACTTTTGAGTTCATTGTTTCGTAAATGTTTCCGAGGCATTCAGGCCCAGCCTCAAACGTGATGCTGTCCACACACTGCTCATGGAAGTGTTTGGTGCTATGCAGCTTTGTCGCAGACGTCTTTTCAAACACAAAGGTTGTCTTTTACAACCTGTATTTGCATGCCACAGCAAAATTGGCGAGTACTGGTTTTCTTCATGTGTTCTTCTGTTAAAATGATTCCTGTTCTTTTTTGCCACTTTCAGGAAATTCACATTTTTTTGCTTGTAGCAGGTGAAGTCGCTTTACATTTTGAGAGTAGGGCTTCTGAATTTCCTCTATCGACAGTTTGTATTCAGTGTTCATTAGTTTGTGTTTCTATCTCTGTCACATTCAGCTTTTTCTTCTTCATGTGTTTTTTTTTGGGTTTTTTTTATAATTTATTTCCCCAAATCTGGGATTTTTATTTAACTTTTTTACTTGGGTTGAGCTCTTTTGAAATTGCTTGTGCAAAATGTTTACTTTATGTGGGCGCGTTAGAGATAATACTTAGATTTAGAGATGGATGTTTGTAGCAGCTTTTCAGCTAATTAGATTTCAGATGAGTCCTTTATTAATTTGAATCATAATAGTGGGATGAAGCAGCCAGCAGTCAAACATTTAGTGTAAAGCCAAAACGATGCAACAGCCATTCAAATATTTGACCTTAAAACCTGCATAAAAAATCCAGGCATGTGCATTATTGACCTCACGCACACTGACCAGGTGTGCTCGTGCACTTTTGGATTGCAAGAAAGTGACTTTTCACTTTCTTGTGAAAAGAGGAGTTTCAATTTTATTTAAACAACACCTGTTCAAAAGCATTTTTTATATTGTAATGTTAAATCTTTGCGGGATTTTTGTTGTTTTTTTTTATGCAACAAATAGTTTAGACTGAGCATCTTGTGGCTCACAGAAAGGATTTTGCTGGCTTGGGTGAAAACCTGGCCTGTATGTTCAGGAAGGAAAAAGAACCTTCTAAAAACTGGGAGTATCGGAGAAGAAAGATCAGCCGATCCATCCATCAAGTCTTTTCCCTCTTCTGGTTTAGTCACATGCTCTCCACCCAGGATGTCAGACACTTTCTGTCTTGCTTGGCCTTGGAGGGGCAAAAAAACCTTCTCTGGCATCACCAGCAACCCTTGTGACTCACCTAAAACTCCCACGACCCTCCTATCGGCTCCTTCCCCAACACAGTACACTAAAGCCTCCACCTCATCTGCTCCCTGAGCAATAAATTATTGTCAGCAAGCCATTTCCCCCACACCTCTGTGCACTTACATTAGCTAAGTGTGTTTGCATGTTTGTGCACGTGTGAGACAAACACCTACCTTCTTAAAAGATCATCACTGGATCAGCATTTTGCTGCTTTGTGTGTTTGCCATACTGGGAAGGAGAGACTGTCACTGTCTGTGTCTGCTTACATTTAAAGATATTTATGATGAAATCAATAATTTCTTCATTCTGTTTACGGGCACATGCAGGCCTGGTTTTGGTTGATTCTGTCTTGAAGAGCAAACTCCTGTCAGATATGGTATTGGTTAAAACACGTTCCACTTGTGCCAGTGTTTACTTCTACATCGATAAAAAGAGAAAAATATGCGATTTTAGCGTTTGTGAAGAGTTTTATTCGTCATTCAGCACTGGTTACTATTTTAATCTGTGATGACAACACATGTGTGTCATCCTGTTTGTGCGTTTGTATATATCCCCATAAGGGTTATTGTGTTGGTCAATCACCAGAGGAGCCATCTTCAATTTTATTGGGTACCAGTCTCCATTAGGTCATCCTGGGTGTGTACACACACACACACACACACACACACACACACACACACACACACACACACACACACACACACACA